AAAGAATGTGTACTTTACAGCTGTTGGGTGTAGTATTCTATATATGTCTATGAGGTCAAGTTGGCTGATTGTGCCCTTTAGGTCTTCTGTATCTTTGTTGAGTTTCTTTCTAGATGTTCTGTCCTTTACCAAGAGTGGTGTGTTGAAGTCTCCTACTATTATTTTGGAACTATCAATTTCTCTTTTCTAAGCTGTTAGAGTTTGTTTTATGTATTTTGGAGGCCTCTCATTGGGTGCATAGATATTTATTAGGTTATGTCTTCATGATGGATCCTCCCCTTAATCTTATACAGTGTCCTTCTTTGTCTTTTATGGTGGATTTTGTTTTAAAGTCTATTTTATCTGAGATTAGTAGTGCCATTCCTGCTCTTTTTTGGTAGCTGTTTGCTTCATGTATTTTTTTCCATCCTTTGATTTTTAATAAATTTACGTCTTTGTTTCTAAGGTTTGTCTTTTGTAGACAGCATATTGATGCATCCTGTTTTTTTTAATCCATTCTGTCACTCTTCGTCTCTTTATGGGTGCATTTAGGCCATTTACATTCAGTGTAATTATTGATAGGTGTGAGCTTATTGCTGTCATTTTGTAGTGCTTTTTTTCGTGGTGCTGATGTTTTCTTTATTCTTTTCGCCTCCTGTGCTGAATTACTTTTGTTTGTGTTTTTTTTTCCATTTCTTTTGTTTTTGTAGGTTTTGTTTTTACTGAGACTTTATGTTTTTCTTCTTTATTTTGATGATTAGGTTTGTTAACTTTCTTTGTGGTTACCTTGAAATTACCCTTATTTTCCTAGGTTTGAATCAGTCTATTATTACTTGGTATCGCCTTGCCTTCCTCTCCATTAGAAGGTTCTATACCTACACTGTTTATTCCCTCTTTTATTATTCTGATGCTGTTGTCGTTTACAGATTAACCTCTCTGGTTTCCTTTTGTAATTCTTTCTGTTTTGGATAGTCCTTCAGAGTTCATTTCCTAGGTTGGTATCTGGCTAGTACAATCCTGTGTCTTAGATTCAGCCTTTGGTCTGATGTTGCTTGTTCTCAGATCGAAGGGCTCCCTTTAATAATTCTTGTAAGTTTCGTTTGGTTTTTACATAGTCCCTTAATTTCTGTTTATCTGGAAATGTCCTAATTTCACCATCATATTCGAACGAGAGTTTTGTGGGATATATTATTCTTGGCTGGCAATTTTTTTCTTTCAAGGTTTTTATATATGTTATCCCATTGCCTTCTTGCTTGCATGGTTTCTGCTGAATAATCCAAGCTTAGTCTTATTGTTTCTCCTCTGTATGTGACTTTTTGTTTTTCTTGAGCTTTTCTCAGGATTCTTTGTTTGTCTTTGGTTTTAGGGAGTGTGATTATGATATGCCTTGGTGATTTTCTTTTTGTGTCTATCCTATATGGGGTTCATTGAGCTTCTTGGATGGTCGGCTTTTCATCTTTCATGATATTGGGGAAGTTTTCTGTCAGCAATTCTTCAATGATCCTCTCTGTGTTTTCTGTTTTCTCTCCCGTTCTGGAAATCTGATCACTTGCAGATTTTTGCTTTTGATTGTATCTCACAGAATTCTCAGGGTTTCTTCATTTTTCTTCGATCTTTTTTCTGATTTTTTCCTCAAACAGTGTTGTAGCCAAGTGTTTGTCTTTAATTTCGCTGATCCTGTCTTCCATCATTTCAAACCTGTTCGTCATCCCTTCTATGACACTGTCCGTTTCTGAAATCTTGTTGTTTATCTTTTGGATTTCTAATTGTTATTTTTGTATGATTTCTAGTTGTGAATTTATTTTTGCATTTTGTTTCTGTATTATTTTCTTGAATTCTTCCATTTTTTGGTCTGTATTTTCCATGAATTTGTCTGCCTTTTCCATGAATTTGTTTATTTTTTCCTTTTTTGTATGCTTTTTGCTTCAACTCTTAGATAATTCTGAATATTAGAGATTTGAATTCCTTATCAGGTAGTTCTAGTGCCTTTTCTTCTACTGGAAAGTCCTCTGGTATTTTATTTTGGATGCCTACTGGAACTATCCTGTCCTGTTTTTGTATATGTTTTGATATTGTCTGCTGTCTTCAGGGCACTCAGTAGTTATTTTCCTCGTGTATTGATTGTAGATTTGTTTCATCCTGCTTTTTTGTTTTATTTGTTTATGTCTGAGCAGGTGGGCTGTGCCTTATTTGTTATTTGCTCATCTGTGGGCACGATACTTTTCACCTCCTTCTCCAATAGGCAGGGTCAGTCACTCGGGTATGGTACAGCAGGGCAGGTCCACTGAAGGGGAGTTGCTGAGATGGGTTGTTTGTGGCACGTACTAGGGCTGACAGGGCAGGCTCGGAATTAGTGCAGGGCAGGGCCATGCCTATGCTGCTTGGGTGTGTGATGTTCAGTGCATGGTGCAGGTAGGCAGGAAGGAGGGGGGAGATTGTGATGTGTGGAGCTAAGATGGGTATGGGAAACATGAGAGAGGATAAAGGAACAGGTGCCAAAAACACACACACAAACAAAAAAGAGTGCTAAGGGAGCTTGCTATTGGAGTGGAGAGATGAGAGACTGAGAAATGGAGAGAAACAAAAATGAAAAAAAAAGGGTAAAAGAAAAAAATGAATAAATCAAGAAACTGGAAATGAAGAAAGACAAATACGGAAAAAGAGAAAGAAGAAAACAAAACAAAGAAATAAAAAAAAAAGAAAAAAAAACAGAAAAAAATAGAACAAGAAAAAGGAAACACTCCCTAGGGATGTCACTGTGCATCTGTGCAGAGTAAGGGAGTATCTCCCAAGCCGCATGGCACTGCCCAGCCCCAAGGGGCTCCCAAACCGATAAAAGACAAAGAAAACAATCAAACAAATAAATCAAAGCAGGACAATTCAGAATAAAAAAAGAAACAAACAAAAAAAAAGCCCTGGGATTCCCACCAGCACAGCGGCATGGGCCGGGAAGCAGTTCCACAGTCGAGCGGTGCCTTGCAGCCCCCCAGGAGGATGCAGAGATGGCCATGGAGCCAGATATTTCAGAGTAAGGAGGGAGAGGTGGTGAGAAGGAAGAAATCTAATGAAGCAGAAAAAAGCAACAGCAGCAGCCAACAAATGGCACTCATGGAGCCGGCCAGTACGGGTGGGTGGAATCCAAGCGACACCGGGGTGAAGCCGGTGCTTCCTGGGCAAGAGACTGTTGCCGTGGGAAGTAGAGGAGGCTGAGTGGGGGTGAAGAAGGGTGGGGGGTGGGAAAGCATGTTTTGTTCGTTACTGATTGTTCTGTCTCCTGCTGGAAGCTCCGTGAAGCTGCTTTCTCGTACCCCCTGTTCGCTGATCTCCGACAGGAGTCCAAGATGGCAGATCCATGCTGCGGCAGCTGATAGGGGACCTCTGCATGTATCTCTCCTTGCTCTCTGTTCTCAGTCAGTTTCTTACTCCATTCGGTGCTTGGCTGAGTTCTTTATCTCTTTATTTGATGCTTAGGGTTTCAGGACTGATGTGTGACTCTGTTTGACTTAGTTTTTCAGATCTTTGCTGTGGAGGGATGACGTGGTGCTTTTGACTATAGTGCCATGTTGCCCAGAAGTCTGGGGCTTTAACTTTTGACCTGGAATACTTATGCATTGTTGGATTCATTTTTTACAATGAGCAAGTCATTTATTGCTCCTGTATAATTTTGTTTGATGCTCACAACAGCTTTCTGCAGAAGGCAGGACAAGGATGATTATCCCAGTTTCCTTATAAAGCTCAGAGTTGTGAATTGACTTGTTCAGAATCACATAGCTAATGAGGACTGGGAGAGGGAGCCCTGAACTGAGTTCTTGAGTTGCTTCCTAGCCCAGAGTTCTTTCCCCTGTACCAGGCTATCTGGAAGATGATGATGGAGAATGAATTAGCATACAGATAATGATACTACTTTATTACCTGCCTAGCAGCATGGTACTTAAGTGCTATGGCTGCTAACCAAAAAGTTGGCAGTTCGAATCCACCAGGCGCTCCTTGGGAACTCTATGGGCAGTTCTACTCTGCCCTATAGAGTCGCTATGAGTCGGAATCAACTCAACGACAATGGGTTTGTTTTTTGTTTTTTTTTAAGCAGCAACTCATGCTGTCTAATACCCAAGAATGTGCAGAGCTTCATGGCCTCTTTTTGAAACACTCATTGGATAAACTCCAATGCATGCCAATTTTCTAAACTTGTACTGCCCAACGTACTCAAAATTTAGGAATATTTGAAGTGAGCTAGTCAAACAAGGTCTAATTGTCACTAAGTCTCCAATCCAGTAAAAATAATAATGATAATATCAAAATATAGATGCAAACATTCTTTTCCTTCCTCCTGTGGTTTTCTCTTATTCTCCTTTGCCTGGCAGGTTAATGGCAGATGGCTCTAGAAGCAGTTGGCATGAAAGTAGCGAGATGTCTAGCCTTATCATATTTCTTTGGATCCCCTTTACTCCTTAACCAGATAACATTAAATCACTAAGGGTATCAGAATTCTTAGCAACATGGGCAGGAGGAGGCTCATACTAAAAGGACAGAGCTAGGTAGGGGCTATGGGTGACAAAGGGTTCAGATTTGCCAACAAATAATCTGAAGCATCATGTGAAGTGTTGTGTAGGACCCTGAATTCCATCGCAAAGCATTTTGGGTCTCATTACTGGCAGTTCTCCCCACCTATTATGGCATCTCTAGGCCACTTTTCTAGCAACTCAAAGGACCATTTTGAAAGTAAGTCCTGTCAGTGATCTGGAACATAACACAACCAGTTAGACAGCTGCACTCCTGTGAAAGACAGCCTATGTGGTCTTACCTCAGGAATAGCATTACCCATCACGAGCCAGGCCTTTTTACCCAGGAACAGAAAATAGTTACATAGTAGTACTGCATGCTCTTCTTCATCCCCTGCCAGGAGATCAAGAAATTGCTAACAAAAAGAAAACAGTTGTGTTAAAATGACTGACTGCTTCATTCTAGTGTGGCTGTATGGGATTTTGACAAGTCGTGGTTAGAACTAGTGCCCTAAAGTACCAGACCTATTTTTCAAATCTTTCCCCAGATTTTGATACTATATTGACAATTCATAACAATAATAAAACAACCAAATGAACCACTTTTAGTGGACAAGGTGTTTTCTCTGACATTGAGGGCATGGATTTCCAAAATCAGTAATCACTATGATTGGGGTGGGGTGGGGGAGACAAATTTCAAAGTTTTACTTTTCATCTTGAATGTATATATGGCAGCTTACTATGTGTTAAACATGTTTTTAGCACAAATGCATTAACTCATTTAATCCTAGGACTACCCTTTGAGGGAGGTACTTCCTCATCTTTAAAAGGTATTTTCCCATTTTATAGATGAGGAAATGGAGACCAGATAGGTGACGTAACACTGAGGAGGTGAGAAAGCTAGTCTGGCTCTAGAGCACATGAACTATTCTATACTTGGTATATCTTTTATAGATAGCTCAAGGTTGTAGAAATTTTATCTCTACAATCATCAACATTTACACTTCCAAAATATATCCAGGAAGAAAAAACTTAAAGTGTGCTTAAATTTCTTCGGTTTAGGACTGTGTTTCAAATGGAATTGTAAAAATACAATTAGACTTTATGCAAACAGAGTTCAACATGCGATCCAGCAGCAAAATGAATACCTGTCAGTAGCATCATTAGGATTGGTGTCAACCAGTGCAGTAACTCATGGTGTCCCCTCCCCCTCTCCCTGGACCTCCTTCCGTATCAGACCATACAGAATCCTTAGTAATGTTTTTTCTATTAATGTTACTTGCAAATTATAATTCCCATATATCACTCCTTCTTTTCTTTTAATTACTACTTCATTCTCAAAAGTTATTGATACAGGTTCACAAATACTAATTACCACACTATTCTGCCTAAAACACCAGGAAATTTGACAAAATCAGCGACTGTATAAACACCAGCAACAACAAAAACAGTGTGTGCTTATAGCACGTGCAGACAAAACCACATGATTCAAAGCATCATTGTAACTGGGTAATAATGACTGCTCTGACTGGAGCACATTAGAAGGTTCAAAAAGTAAATTAGCATAGAGGTTTATCCTTGCAGCTATGTTGGTACACGTAAGCTGGGCTTATGGAAAATGTTTTTGTTGTTATAACTAACTACAAGGATATTTTATAGACAGTCATTTTGGTGTCACCCCCTCTGACAGTATCACCTGGTGTGGTTTATACCCCCTGCACCTCCTTAGTGATGCCACTGATACCTGTGATAATATATGTTTGTTACGCACTGCCTAAATTTATGTTGTATACTTAAATTGTAAATTCCATGAGGGCAGAGACCATGTTTATTTTGCCTGCAGCCAGAACTTGGTACTTCTGCTTAAGTACTAAGAATTTGCCACCTAACTAGTATGACCTAGATGACTAAGAAATACAGTGAAACCTGTGAGAGCTGGAACTCGATGGGACTGCCTTGTTTTTCTGGGTCTCGCAAGTTTTCCACCTTTGACGGGTGCAGTCTTACTACTTTTCTAACTCTCATTTTAGTAAAAAATATTTGAGTTTTCTTCTCTGACAGGTTTCTGCCTTACACAGTTTCCGGCTTTCGCAGGTTTTACTGTACATACTGAGTGAATAAATGGCATGCCTTAAGGAGACCATAAATTAAGGACTATACAATTTCCAAATATAATAAAGAATGTAATTTTAATTTTTTAGAAAAGAAAACTACCTATGTAATATGACCAGTTAAGAAAAAATCAATCATTTTACGAATAAAACTGCGATATCGTTATAAAGGCAATACTTGGAGGATAAATCAGCATTAAGACATCTGAAGTGTTATTTTTTATTCTTTGTGTGAATAATTTATTTTTTAAAAATGTCTGAACTTTGGGAGAATTAAGCCAGGAAGAGAAAAATACCTCAGAATATAGCTCATCCTGCTAAAAAGATGACTAAGTAAATTTTTATGATGACTAATGAATATTGCAACTTAAAATTATGCAAGCCATCTATCAAATATTCAATTAAGTCAACTCAAGCTACTAAATCTGTGAGGAAGAATGAAGAACCACTTACATCAGATGTGCTCCACAGGTCACAGATACCAGCAAATGAAATAGTGTCAGGCAAGAAAGGAATCAAAGACACGTATCGAGCCACCAGTTCCTGCAGAATCAAAATTAGCTTTTACAAAAATAATTTCTAATAAAATAGAAAACTGGTCCTCACACCTCATTTCTTGCAACAAAATAATATATCATAAACATTCATGTGTATAAAATGAAACTGTAAACGATTACCAAGTGTTATGCTAATATTAACTCATTAATTCTTACCAAACACTCCTGTGAGGAAGGTCATTGTGATTATCCACCTTTTACAAATGAAGAAACTAAAGCAAGTGGTTGAATAAACTGCCTAAGGATATAGCTAGTCAATGGTAGATCACACCCGGAAAGTTATAGCCCTTGAGTCTATGTACTTAACCACACTGACTCTCTGAAGAAATACCGAGGGACTTTATCTTAAAATTTGAGAGTGAAGAAAACCTTTTGAAATAAGCCAAGCAGACAATCTAGATGCTATCAAGAAAAAGAATGATAATTATGACTTTATAAAACATATCTACATGGCAAAAACAAAATAAAAAACCAAAAACCTGAAACTGATTCAAAACTCACAAAGAGATTCAAAAGGCAAACAGCAAACAGGTAAAATCTATGGGCAAAAAAAAAAAAAAAAAAAAAAATCTTTTCTAAACCTTGTCAGGTTTTGATACCACTAGTCAAAAACTTGTGTAGGATACTTCTGTGGCTTGTTTATTCACTCAGTTTTGTGTTTTTGTGATTATCCCTGTGGTATTTGGCTAATTTTTGGAACTAGATTGCTAGGCCTTGCTTTCTGGTGTGTCTTAATCTTCTTGTCTTTCCTTTTTTCTTTTTTGCTTCTTTATTGTATTTACCATATTTTTATGCAAATAATGCACACCTATGTTTGTTTGCCAACCATGCCCTCCCCCCTGCAAGGTATTTTTGTTAGCTCACTATGCTAATTTTTTTACAGCTACATGTAAAAAATAATTGGCATTGCAGCACTTACATTATTTGTGTAAAAATAACTATAGTCGTATATGAATATGTACAATTCTCCATTTTATGTAGATGGACATTTGTTTTATTTCTATTTTTTCCCCTATATTGATATGAACATTGAGTTTTTTTCTAGTCTAGGATACATACCTAGAAAGGATTTGTTGGGTCATAGGATATATGCACCTTTACTTCACTGTTGTTGTTTTTGTTTGGAGTCAATTTCTGACTCAAAGCGACCCCATACGATAGAGTAGAACTGCCCTGTAGGGTTTTCTTGGCTGTAATCTTTACAGAAGCAGATCACCAGGTCTTTCTCCCATGGAGCAACTGGGTGGGTTCAAACTGCCAACCTTTTGGTTAGTAGCCAAGTGCTTAACTGTTGTGCCACCAGGGCTCCTTTTTACTTCAGTCAGTAACATCAGATTGTTTTCCAAAGTGATTGTACAGCTCCTACCAGTGGCATATGAGATTTCTTATTGTACAACATTCTCACGAACACTGATTTTTATTTTTTAGATTTTAATTTTTTTGCCAATTTGGTGTGTGTGAAGTTTATCTCATTGTTTTTAAAAACATTTTATTTTGAAATAATTTCAAACTTAATATTAGTTGTATAAATAGTACAAATAACTTTCATATACCCATATTTACTTTACCACTCTCTTTTGTTATATTTTAAAATATATTTTCCTGAACCATTTGAGACATCATGCCCGATTATCCCTAAATAATTCAATGTCTATTTGCTTAGAACAAAGACATTCTATTCCATAACCACAGTATATTATCAAATGCCATTTAACAATGCAACGATACTATATCTAACCTATAAATCAGTTGCTGTCCAGTTGATTCAACTCATGGTGACTCTATTTTTGTCAGAGTAGAAATGTGCTCCATAAGGTTTTCAATAATTTTTCAGAGGTAGATACTAGGCCTTTCTTCTAAGGTGCCTTTGGTTTGACTCAAACCTCTGACCTTTAGGGTTAGCAGCCAAACATGTTAACTGTTTGCACTACCCAGAGACTCCTATCTAACATATGTTGTTGTCTTTGTTAGGTGCTGTGGAGTCAATTCTGATTCATAGCGACACCATGTACAACAGAATGAAACATTGCCTGGTCCTGCGCCATCCTCACAATCATTGCTGTGCTTGAGTTGCAGCCACTGTGCCAATCCATCTTGTTGAGGGTCTTCCTCTTTTTTGTTGACTTTCTACTTTACCAAGCATGATGTCCTTCTCCAGGTACTGGTCCCTCCTGATACCATGTCCAAAGTATGCGAGACAAAGTCTCACCATCCTCGCTTCTAAGGAGCATTCTGGCAGTACTTCTTCCAAGACAGATTTATTCATTCTTCTGGCAGTCCATGATATATTCAATATCCTTCACCAACACTATAATTCAAATGCCTCAATTCTTCTTCAGTCTTCCTTATTCATTGTCCAGCTTTCACATGCATATGAGATGATTGAAAATATCATGGCTTGGTAAGTGATGTTCTAGAGGAATTATTAGTGATGTTAACTTTGATCACTTGGTCAGGATGGTGTCCAGCCGATTTCTTTACTGTAAAGTTATCATTTTTTCCCCCATAGTAATTATTAAGAAACCCTTCGACTCGACGGCAATGGGCAGCGGCTTTGGTTTTTTGGGGGGAGTGGGATAACTCTGAGATTATATAAATATTCTATTCTTCTTCAAACTTTTACCCTCTAGTTTTAGCATCTACTAATGAGCCTTGCCTGAATCAATTATTACAATGATTATTGTAAAATAGTTGTTTTCTAACTTAAGTATTCCTTATACATTTATTATTTGGCATTCTACAGTAAGAGTTTTCCTTTCTTTCTTATTCATGAATTCATCAATTCTTATTGTATTCAATCAGTTATAATCCATTACCTCCATTATTTCTTTTGATTTCCATATTCCCAGATTTGGCCTGTGAAAGCCCTTTCAAACTGGTTCCTGTGTCCTTTTGAAGTGTCCTCATAGTTCCTTTTTTTTATTTTTGAACTTCTTTACTTTCTGGAATAGCAAGACTTTCTGGGATAATCTCATGCTTTCCCTAACCCAGCCCTGAAAGCAGCCATTTCTCTAAGAAGCCCTGGGGAATAGTATTTAGAAAAGAAGATCTGGGCCATTATTGTGGCTATAAACTCATATTCTGAAATTCCTAAGGAGGTTGAACATCTTTTAATATGTTTATTGACCTTTCATGTTTCCACTTTTGTAAATTTCTATTTAAGTATTTTCCATATTTTGTTATTAATTTATAGATAGATATAGATAGCTGCTGTAGAGTTGGCAACGACCTATGGTGACCTTATGTACAACAGAACGAAATGTTGCCCAGTCCTGTGTCACCCTCACGATAGCTGGCATGTTCATGTCCATCGCTGCTGGCTATTGTGCCAATCCATCTCACCAAGGGTCTTCTTTGCCCTGGCTGGCCCTCTGCTTCATCCTATGATTGGTCCCTCCTAATGATGTGTCCAAAGCATGTGTGTCAGACAATGTTTTGTTCTGATCCATACGTTTTTTTAATTTTTTTATTGTGGTGAAAATATACATAACAAAACATATGTCATCTCAACAATTTCTACATATACAATTCAGTGACATTGATTACATTCTTCAAGTTATGTAACCATTCTCACTATCCTTTTCCTTATCATTCCACCACCATTAACATAAACTTAGTGCCCCCTAAGCAAAAACTTCCCCTTTCCTCCTACCTCGCATCCCTGGTAACCACTAATGATCTTTGGTTTCTATATATTTGCTTATGTCATATAAGTGATATCACACAATATTTGTCCTTTTTGTGACTAACTTATTTTGTTCAGCATGATGTTTTCAAGATTCATCCATGTAGTGGCATGTATCAGGGCTTCATTTCTCTTTATAGCTGAGTACTGTTCCATTGTGTGTATATACCATATTTTGTTTATCCGTTCATCTGTTGATGGACATTTTGGTTGGTTGCATCTTTCAGCTATTGTAAAAAGTGCCTCAATGAACATTGGCATACAGGTTTCTGTTTGCGTTCTAGCCTTCACTCCTTCTGGGTATATACCTAGGATTGGGATTTCTGGGTCATACGGTAGTTCTATGTTTAACATTTTGAGGAACTGCCATAATGTTTTGCACAGTGGCTGTACCGTTTTACATTCCCATCAGCACTGGATGAGGGTCCCAGTTTCTCCACAACTTCGCCAACATCTGTTGTTTTATGTGTTTTTTTTTTGGATCACTGCCATTCTAATAGGGTTGAGGTGGTATATCATTGTAGTTTTGATTTGCATCTCTTTAATGACTAATGATTTTGAGCGTCTTTTCATGTGCTTGTTGGCCATTTAAATATCCTGTTTAGTGAAATGTCTGCTCAAGTCCTTTGCCCATTTTTTGATTGTGTTATTTGTTGCTTTGTGGTTTAGTCGTAGAAGTTTTTTTTAAAAATATATATGTATTTTGAATATTAAACCCTTATCGGATATATGGTTCCCCAAAATTTTCTCCTAATCTGTATGCTGTCTTTTCACTTTGCTGATGAGCAAAAGTACTTAATTTTTATGAGGTCCCAATTATCTATTTTTTCTTTTGCTGTTTGTGCTTTTGTTATTAGATCCATAAGGTTTGCTTTGGCTAATTTTTGGAAGTAGATTGCTAGGCCTTTCTTTCTAGTCTGTCTTAATCTGTAAACTCTGCTGAAACTTGTCCACCCATCGGTGACCGTGCTGGTATCTGAAATACTGGTGACATAGCTTCCAGCATCATAGCAACACGCAAGCCATCATAGTATGACAAACTGACAGACAGGTGGTGGATATTACTATACTAATGACTTATTAGCAACAATTACTCCTCATATCATCCATTATCCAAAAACAGTTATGGGTTAAGATATACACTTAAATATAACTTGCTCAACATATGGCTTCTGGTTCACATGACATTTGTGATGTGGTATGGTGCTTTGAAGCCAGAGAATAATGCAGTTTGGATGTGCTTTGTGGTGATGGCCTAAATGCTGTAAACATTTACAGTTTTGCAATAATTTTTGCTTAATTTGAATTCATTGATGTTCATATCATTCAGCAGAATACTGAATAGTTATTTTGATATAGTAGAAAGTGCATGAGTTCTGAAGTCAGAGGCCTACTTCAAATCCTAGCAGTTGTTGATATACATAATAAAAGCATGTTTATGTAAAGCATTTGTAAAGCATCTTACAAAGGTTAATTTCCCCCACACTCAGTATAATGGCAGGCACATAGTAAGCACTTAATAATTATTTGTTGAAAGAACGAATTAAGGATTATTTTCATCCCTGGTGGAGCCCTGGTGGTGCAGAGGTTAAGCACTCAGCTGCTAACCAAAAGATTGGTGGTTCAAACCCAGCAGCCACTCCAAGGAAAAAAGATGTGGCAGTCTGCTTCTGTAAAGATTTACAGCCCTGGAAACTCTATGGGGGCAATTCTATTCAGTCTTATATGGTCATTATGAGTTGGAATCAATTCTTTGAACAATGGGTTTTTGTCATCCCTTGTACCTTCAAAATTTTCTGAAGGAAGCAAGCCTCATAGTACTAAACAAGTTTTAACCATTACTTTAATCACTGAGTGGTCCTTTGGTGGTGTCAATGGTTAACACGCTTGGCTGCTGTCCGAAAGGTTGGTGGTTTGAGTCCACCCAGAGGCCCCTCAGAAGAAATACCTGGCAATCTACTTCCATTGGAAAAAACCTATGGAGCACAGTTCTACTCTGACACATGGGGTCAACATGAGTCGGAATCGACTTGACAGCAAATGGTTGGTGGTTTAATCGCTGATGATAATATTTTAAGTACTATGATATATGGTAACTAAAATGACAATATATTGAAATTTTAAAACACTCTTAGCAAGAGCACTGATAGGCTATGAAATACTTACCGCAGTTGCCTGGGGATTACTGGGGTAGATGTTAAGGAGTTCCTGAGGTGGGTTTAAAGGCTTGAGATAACGTGTAATAAAAACGGTTTTCCCACTTATGTCAATTACTGTTGTAAGGCACTGACGATTTGGAAACTTTAAGGCACATTCAGCTTGCAACTTCTCCGTTGCTTGAAGCAATTTATCATCTTCCTGAGAATCAAACTTCAAAAAAGAAAGACACCATGGAATTTATATATGGTTACAAGGGACACAATAGAACATGTTCAGATTTGATATGATTTAAATGTTTAGTCCAGGAAGTATGAGTAAATGACCCCTTACAAAACCATCATGTCCTCATGCCCCTGCAGCTATATAATTATGTTTATAATTTAAAAAGTAGGTTGATTACTTAAATACTTGAAATATATCCAACAAGATTCAAAGAAAATAGTCAATAGGCAAGTAGCAATATGGAAACTACTAGATTGATAAATCAACCTATAAAAATTAAACCCTGATGTTCAAAGTCTGATGGATGAGTCCAAGCAATAGAGTATTATGTATCTTTTAATGTTGGTTTTATTGATGGCTCAGAAATGTGACACCTCAAATGTAAAACTTAAGCAACTCATGTTAAACAGATGGCAAATTTACAGATATATATGGGTATGTTAAAAAGTTTCAAACCTATAAGCAGTGTAATAAATAATAGTAATGGATCTTAAGGAAGAAGAAATCAGGACTAAAAACTTCAAGTGTATAATAATTATTTTACGTGGTTCTTTGATCCAAGATGAGATACCAATTCCCAGGTTTTTTAAGTAACTCAAAGCACATGGAACAGAACAAATTCCAATTATCTTTGGACATATGCTGTAGTTATTTTTTTTCTCAAGCTATTGCTGGAATATAGCAATAATAATAATAATAATAATACAGATATTTTACTATGTTGACAAGGTTTTAATGTTTTTACAAGATTTTTGCTGTTTAGTCTAAAAATGTATGCATGTTTGCTTGCACTTCAGAGTTTCAAGACAAACTCAAAAATTTTTTAGAAAAGTTCATGGTTAATAGAATTTAGGTTATAGGCTATACTTGAAAAAAAATGTTTTTTTGAGGAGGGAAATACATCCAACCACCTGCTCCTAGCCTGCTTTGTTTTTCTTTTTAGCGTTTAAGGAGTGCTGACATATATTTGTTTACACTGTCTCTCCCATAGAGTAAGATCCCTCAGGTCAAGGGTTTTGTTTTGACATAGATTTTTACCTCCAGTACCAAGAACACTACCTGACACATAGTGCTCAACAATTGTTACTGAGTGAATGAATGACTGAATTGAAAACATTCCATGACTTTTTTATGACCTCAAATCGAATCTAGACTGTCCTAATTGTTCTTGACTTCTCTTTATACTGGGGCTGGCCTGTGGCTCCTGTTTCTAGTTTGATTACTGTACATGAGAAGTTGGGGTAGCTGTTGCAAAGGGTAGGTAGGATGGAGGCATCTTTAGAAGCCCCCTATATATTCTTGTGGGATGTCTCCTGGCATCATAATTATTATCATCATCATCATTATGGCCCCCTACCACTCATCATAGTGCTAAGACACAGTAGCTACCCAATAGGTATTATGATGAATAAATAAATCAATGAAAAAGGTGGTGTGGCAATGGAGTACTATGCAACAAGAAAGAACAATGATGAATCTGTGAAGCATCTCATAACATGGATGAAACTGGAGGACATTATGCTGAGTGAAATAAGTCAGTCACAAAAGGACAAATATTGTATGAGACCTCTATTGTAAAAAGCCATGAAAAAGTTTACACACAAAAAGTAACAATCTTTGCTGATTACCAGGAATGGGAGGGGTGGGGGGAAATACTAAATAGGCAATAGATAAGTGATATCTTTGGTGAAGAGTGAGACAGTACACAATACTGGGGAAACCAGTACAACTTGGTCAAGGAAAGGTCATGGAAGCTCCATAGACATATCCAAACTCCCTGAGGGACTGAATTGCTGGGCAGAGGGCTGTGGGGACCATGGTCTCGGGGAACATTTAGCTCAATTGGCATAACAGTTTATAAAGACAATGTTCTACATTCTACCTTGGTGAGTAGCATCTGGGGTCTTAAAAGCCTATGAGCAGCCATCTAAGATACTCCACTGGTCTCATCCGTTCGGGAGCAAGGGAGAATGAAGAGAACAGGATACAAGGAAAAGATTAGTCCAAAGGACTAATGAACCACAGCTACCAAAGCCTCCACCAGACTGAGTCCAGTACAGCTAGACAGTGCCACCACTGACTGCTCTGACCAGGATCACAACAGAGGGTTCTGGACAGAGCTGGAGAAGGATGTAGAACAAAATTCTGACACACACAAAAAAGACCAGATTTACTGGCCTGAAAGAGACTGGAGAAACCCCGAGAGTATGGCCCCCGGACACCCTTTTAGCTCAAAGGTGAAGTCACTCCCGAGGTTCACCGTTCAGCCGGGGTTGGACAGCCCCATAAAACAAAATGGGACTAATGAGGCACAGCAGTCCAGGGACAAGAACTAGAAGGCAGAAGGGGACAGGAAAGCTGGTGATAGGGAACCCAAGGTTGAGTAAGGACAGTGTTGATGTGTAGTGAGGTTGTTAACCATTGTCATAGGGCAACATGTATACTAACTATTTAACAATAAACTATTTTGTTCTGTAAACCTTCATCTAAAGTGAGAATAGCAGCACAATTGGAAGAGCGTAGTCGATGTCACCGAACTGTGCATGTAGAAATTTTTGAAATGGTGTAACTTTGGCTATGTATATTTTCACACACACAAAAAAAAAGGTCGAGAAGGGAGAGGGTTGACGTGTCGTGGGGTTGTTAACCAATGTCATTAAACAATATGTGTACTGTTTAATGAGAAACTATTTGTTCTGTAAACCTTCACCTGAAATACAATTAAAAAAAAAAGGAAAAAGAAGAAAAAGTGGTGTAGGTGTGTCACAGACTTCTAGGGTAGAACTGCCAAGCTAAAAACAATTGTAATTTCAGAAAGACAGAGAATTGTGAAATAAGGATGGCATAAATAAATAAACAGTTGAATTCATCCCGTTCCCTTTAAATTCATTGATTTACTTATTCATCCAATTATTTGAACAATGTTTACTGAGAACTAGAAGGCTGTAGGCACTCTGCATGAGATTAATGAGTATGAAACAGTTCCTCAAGCAACTTCTAGTCTAGAGGGAACATTAATAAGCAATGGGGCACATAAATACTTGACCAGAGATTCTATGGGGATACACACAAGCTGCTATAGGAGCATTTAGGAGAGGCATGTAAAGGCACTGTCTAGAAAGAACAACAAAAACCTCCAACCAGTACTAACTATTGGCCTTCCAAGTTGAAAAAAGCGTATCTAAATTTTTTTCCACCACTTGGACCTGGATGTTCTGTTCTGTATGTATGTTAGCTCTCTATAACTAGTGCTTCTTGAGGGAGGGCTCATGTTTGAGTACTTCTGTGTTCCTCCCTACACCTACCATGCTCATGATAAGCATTTAATAAAAAGCCCATTGCCGTTGAGTCAATTCTGACTGATAGTGACCCTATAGGGCAGAGTAGGATTGCCCTATTGGGTCTCCAAGAAGCAGCTGGTGGATTTAACTGCCAGCCTTTTGGTTAGCAGACATATACTCGTTTAGGTGGCTACAAATACTTGGTTTAGGCTATCAGGATGCCATTTAATAGAGTGAGAGTATAATTTAAGGAATAGTATGCTATGTTGGAGATCTAAGAAGAGCTAAGTACTAAAAGAATTTAGCTCATTTATTATGAAAGAAGTCAATGTGAAACTGGCAAATTCACAGGTTAATGTAAAAAATTACAGAAAACTGAATGGGCTTGTTCCCCCTTTGAATATCTACACTTGAACAGCTTCGCTGACCAGACATAATTTTCACAGCTACACTAACTGTCTCTGTAAGAAAGCTCATGGATTCATGGACCTGGAGACAGTGGGGGTAACTCCTAGTATGCAAGTAACTTCCAGACCTAATTTCTTAGATTCAAAGCTAAACATGCTTATTAGTGGTTACCAGGGGCAGAATAGGGGGGCAAAGGGAAGTCACTGTTTAGGAAGCATTGAGTTTCTATTGAAATTTTCTGATGAAAATTTAGCAATGGGTGTTTAATGGTTTCACAACAAGATTAAAGTAATTGATGTGACTAAATTGTACATGTGGGAAACAAATTGGCAAAAGTTGTGTTATACATGTTTTTACAACAATAAAAAAAGACAAAGCTTGACATTCTCATGGCACTGCAGACATCTTCCGTGGTTCATTGCCAAGGGATCACGCATACATCAGGTTCTGCAGCTCCCACAAGCTGGCAGGCAACAAAAGCACTGTTAAAGCCTAATAAATATTAACCGGTGAATTGACAAACAAAATATTTGGTACCTTTTTAAGCATGACACTCATCTATCAGAGGCAAGAGGGAAAAAAGGAAAGAAATGAAAGAGGAAGACTTTATTAATAGAAATAATGTATTTTTTAAACATGTTTTTTTACCAAGATAGTGTAAAGTAGGGAATGTTAAAATAAGAGTTTTCAGGAGTTGCTCCTGATCTTTTAAAATTTCCATTAGTAAATAAAACCCGTTGCTGTCTAGTCGATTCTGACTCATAGCAACCCTATATAGGACAGAGTAGAACTGCCCATTGGGTTTCTAAGGCTGTAATCTTTACGGAAGCTAACTGCCACATCTTTCTCCCATGAAGCGGCTGGTGGGTTCTAACAGCCAACTTTTCTGTTAGTAGCCGAACGCCTAATCACTGCACCGCCAACCGTTAAAAAATCATATGGAATGGTTTATGGGAAATCTGGGATGATGGCGGAGGAAAGACTCCAATTCCCTAATTCTGGAAGTTGCTGTCGGTGGAAAAGCAGTGCCAGGTTGAGCTCTCTATGATTTTAGGACGAGAGATCCTCTCTCCTGAAAAATCTTCGGGTGCATCACTGGGTGAAGCACCGAGTGGCGTTTTCTGCCACTGTGCTTTTGGGACATCAGGGTCCTGTCAGTCTGTGTGCCTCCCTTATCAAATGTGTCAAAGAGTCTGCCATCCAGAGAAGTTTCGAAGGCCCTCAGCTTAGAGGCCTAAGAGAAATGCTTCTCTCAGCCACAACGGGGCAGTGAAATGCCACTGAAGACAGCAGCTGACTGCCTCCTTATCTGGCTTTTGGAAGGAAGGCTGCAGGGCTTGGAGAACAAAGTTTCAGAGCCC